TATGTTTCAAAACTGTGACTGCCTCATATGTTTGTCTTCCTTGAAGGTGATGGTTATATGCAACTACAAAAATAACACTCCAAACAACAGGCTGTTAGAGAAGAATATTTCTTTACTGTAAAATAAGGCAATGTCTTTGCTTTTCTCTCTGTTCCTGAAACAACAGCCTTGCACGCAAATATTTCAAAGCATTTTAAACATTTAGTAATTTAGTTTAATTTGTAGTGGTACAAGTACAAAAACATCCAAAACCAAAACAGGTTTTAGACAAACAAAAACAGTTTTCTTAAAAATTCTGCTGGAAAAAAACATTTGAGCAAGACCTTTCCGATACGGATCAGACAGTGAAACAATCTTTGTATTTGGAAGGAAAACAAAGTACTGTAAATTGTGAACACGTTTAAACTGAACACAAAACTAAGAAATTAGCTAGAACACTCAAACTTGACTCCCTGTTTTATATCTTTATACAGTATTTATCTGCATAGAAATCGTCTCAATTTAATCTTTTAATTTGCAGAATCAGTTGGTAACAGGTTTCCCAACAGTAATTTCACAAGAAGAGTGACTGTTTCACAGCAGCATATTGTGCTTTACAGAAATTCCATTAAAAAATCGTCATTTAGGTCGAAAGGGTACAGACTGATGACCATTTTTGTTCCAACATTGACTAAAGCTTGACAACAGACATTTTCTGACAAATATTCTAAAATCTAAGAAATGTTTCCAAAGACATCAGACCCCTGGAAATCAACCCTCCAGTCTGTATAAGAGCTAGTCTCTTGATTGTAAAAGGGATCAGTATCTACTATAGTAATCAAAGAAATTGGCACTCCTCTCTCTTCATTGACTACTCATACTCCCAGGGCTCATTTCCTATGGATAGATTTGTCTTTTCCATCTTTTTTTCTGTAACTCGGATAGCCTGACAAGTGAGTTCAGTGTTCATTGATCACATTTCACTGCAGGGAGGTGCTAATACTAACTGCTCATCCAGGATTGAATTATTTGTTTTCCTCATTTCACAGCAACATGAAGCGGAAGACTTGATTGTTTGCACAAAATTAAGAAAATGCATTTTAAGTTCCCAAAGACTGTATTATTTCTGTAAATGTGAAAAGAACCTTCAGTGCCCTAGCTTTATAAAATGCTTTTGGAAATAGCACGAAAGAGGCGAGTGTAAACATTAAATAGGATGCCCTAACAAAAGAATAATTTGTTTTCAAATATTTCACATGCACTAAAATGAATAATGTTGTAAAAATATACACAATCTAAAATACTACATTTATATCTCTAGACCTACGTTTATTGCAAAGTGGTTTACAAAAGTGGTTCAATGACCATTGTAATAGCTCCTTAAGATTTTGGTTTCTTTATTGTTTAAGAATCGTGAGGTTTACAGTTGGTTGATTTTAGAAGAGCAGGTTTTCATTAATTTATAATGATCCACTCAACATGGAGACAAATGGCATTTGCAATTAGCTAATTTTACTCACTCAACCTTATCAACCTTGCTGTACATTGCAGGGTAAGGTCGGCCAACGGAATGTGTAAAAACCAGTTCATGGTTAGTAGCAGTCACTCCCTGTCACAATGTGCCATTTTCAAAGCGGTCTCAAACGTGGCCAGCACTTTCTTCATTTGTATTGATGTACAAGGCCATGAAAACATCCAAACGCACAGATCACTACAGCAGCGATCAATTCCTCTGCTTCCATAGACAAAAAAAAAATGTCCGAAGTGTCTCCTGTAATTTCGAAATGTATGAAATCTAACAGGGCTGAAGAGAGAATACAGATCAAGTACAAAAAGGTACTGGCCTGCCAACACCCACAGTAAAGCCAAAAAAAGCTAGGCTGTTTGTAGCACCAGTCAAAGATCGCAGCACCGTCTTGAAAGCTTTCAAGTTGTGTTCAGACGAGCCATCTGAGAGAGTACATCTTTCTGAATAAAACAGAAAGAAGAGCAAAACACAACAGAAATGAAAGCACAGAGCATCCAACAGTTTCCAGTGGTCAGGAATAATAATAATAATAATAATAATAATAATAATAAATGTGATCTCACAACAAGATGCTGTAAACCGACAAAAGTCCGAGAAAACCTGAAACAACATCGGAATCTTTGGAAACAAGGAAGCTGAATCACTCTAAATTTACAGGAATCAAAAGACAGCCTTTTACCCTCTACAAGTGACTTGATTTTTTTCCGGCATTTCGTTAAACAGCAGGAAGCTGAGAGATGCATCTGGCTGCGGACGGACCTATTACACCACGTGTGCGTGTTCGGGGGGCCGCAGCACCTCCCCTGCGCGTGTCCGTCAGCTCGCCCCCGTTACCGGCGTGCTGTGCGCTCGTTGCCCCGGGTCCGCGAGCCGCAGGTCTGGCAGCACTGGGCCCGGACGGTGGGCAGCTGGCAGCGGCCCAGCCACTTCAGGGTCTGGCAGAACCGGAACGTGAGTCGGTCTCGCTGACACGGCTGGCCTGAGAGAGAAAAGGGGGGGGACAGGGTGGTTAAAAAAAGAAAAACGGTTTCAGGAAAAGAGCACGGCTCCAGCAGTTAAGCGACGCGAGCAGAGCTTCAACTGCACGCTTTAAATGAGTAATCTGAGCCGTTTCGTCAATAGACGGAAACAAGCTTCCATCTCTCCTACTACATTAACTCACTTGCAAGAGCTGATTTGACTTCATGTCACATTTTGAGGTCTTTACCAGAGGAGTGTGATAATACTGGCATTGCAGGCTAAGGATATGCACTTATCTCACATCCCAGGGCATAGAGCAATATCTGTGGCTTATTCACTCTAATACTATCCCCGATTATTCTGTCACACATACACATCCCTCCAGAATCATCAGATCAAAAAGTTACCGACTCTAACCTTATGTTGCTAAAGGAAACTTGGAGAGGGCCATCCAAGGCCACAGCTCTCAGCAGCACATATCAAATCCTGCTTTTATAAGCAGATGAAAACTCAATTTAAAAGAGCCTTTAAAGCCAACCTCAGTGAAAGTAACCACTACCATTAGCAACACATCCCAAGAAATGGCATGATTTATTGACATTTTCCACAATTTCTGCCCTCAGGAAAATTCAAGGAAAAAGCAGGCGCTGTCGCCGAGAAGGCGTTCGTTCTCGTCACGAAGGAGCAGCGGACACTAACAGCAAACAGGAGGGCAGGTTTACCAGTTCTTGGGGTCTCCACCCTTGCCACTCCTGCCCTGCCAGTTCGTCCCTCACTGTCTGGGCACAAACCCAGGTCTCCACCATCACACAACAGGGAACTTGCCAGCTGAGCTAAAGGAGACCTCCCTCAGCCTGGGCGGCTGAGATCCCCCTTATACACAGGGGTGTATTTGTTACACAGGCAAAGCACAGAAGCCTGCCTATCCTGTGAAAGTATTGCAAATGACCCCAAAAGGGCACTCAAAGAATCAAAAAATAAAATAAAAGTAAGTTTTATTATTGTAAATACTGTAGAGTGTTGGGGGAATCTTCACACCTCTATTGCTATGTTAGGAATACTAATAGTAGGAAATTACGGAGACCAAGAAATGGAAACCCAGCTCATCGAGACTGACAGCCATCACTTTGTTAAAGGGTTACAAAAGGTGCCATGTTACTGATAACACACACAGCTCCCAGCTCGTCAGTATTCGCCGAGCTGCATGCATTCCCATTTCAAAAGGATACATCGCAGCCAACAAGCGTTTCATTCAGATCCCCTGAGCCGTTACGCATCCCCAGAGCGATGGCAAACCTAGACTGGAGGAAAAAAAAAAACTGCGACTGTCTCAGGCAAAATGAATATCACCCAATCTGGATTTATGTTATTACATCGTTTCAAAATATGCCTCATTAAAACATTCTTAACTTTCAATACTACTATGCATTTTATCCCGCTCTCCTATGTATCTAGATCCTCATGGCCCTGTTTTGGGAACTTGGTTGATTTTGAACTGATCTGAAGCAGCTGCCTGCTGCCAGTCTCTTTCTGGAGATGAGCCAACTGCTGTTCTGTTATCCTCTGTCAGCAATAGCAGCCTAACAGTGGGAGCTCAATGACAATGAACTCGCAGGAATGCAGAACAATTCCGAAGCTCAGCGCATTAAATTATGAGTTTAGCATGAGGCCTTAATCTTGATTTACATTTCTAAGTCTCAGAAGCATTTCCAACTTTAACCGTGCACACCCAAAAGGCTAGACTTGACCTCTCCTGTAGGTTTTGTCCCTGAAATGAATAATTCTGAACATGAAATATAATTGTGTGAGCTTTAAACACCAGTGACTGATTCAACATTGTGGGTTTTATCGGTTCAGAATGAGGTAAAATTAGACGGAATAAAAAGCAGTTTTCAATTTTCTTCTGGTATGTAACAAAACATTACCCCTGAAAAAGAAAATCAAAACCCATTCACTTTGGTTTTTATTTTTATTAAACCATTTATAATGGGTATCCTGAGAACAAAATTCAAATAATCAAATTCTGGAAGGCACGAATTACATTTTAAGAGTTAGTCCTCAAAATACTGTATTATTATCTATGCTTTGGTACAAGAATAATCAGGCTAGAAAAGTAATGGGACTTTAATATTTATGTTTTAAACTTTTCAGTTGCTTATCCCTCATGGTTTTTGAATAAAAGAATAATAAATGAAAAGTTTCGTAGTTTCGCCGTTACAGTGAAAGAAAATGTACTCTCCTTCTGAAATGTAGCCAACTTAGTTTATCTCCATAATCCATGTGTACAGTTTAAATAAAAGTTAGGTGCAACACTATTTCTGTTATCTGAAATGTATTTGTTAAATATTGCTTTGAAAAACAATCATTGTAGTCTGATCGGGTGCTTAAATTAAATATGGCTGGTCTAATCTGGACCCAGCCTGTTTGCTGTTGTGAAGATTAACACCAGCCAACGGCGGTGTGGTGGCCCTGTGGCTAAGGATCTGCGCCTGCAACTGGAAGGTTGCCGGTTCGTATCCTGCGGCCGACAGAGGAATCCTACTCTGTTGGACCCCTGAGCAAGGCCCTTAACCCCAACTGCTCCAGGGGTGCTGTAAAAATGGCTGACCCTGCACTCTGACCTCAAGCTTCACTCTGTGTCTGTGTGTCTCATGGAGAGCAAGTTGGGGTATGTAAAAAGACCAATTCCTAATACAAGAAAGTGTATATGGCCAATTAAGTAATCTTATCTTAACTGCCTGTAAGACATTTATGAAAAATTCACACAATACAAAATTTTTTTGTTTGGTAGCTGAGCATCCAGTTCTTTCAGCACCTTTCTGGGTAATGGCTTAGTATTCATTCCAGAATACAGGAAAGGACCTGTACCGGAATGTTCCGGTATCCTTACTGTCGTTATCACTGCCATAATGAAATCCCATTGCCCTGAGCACCACAATCTGAAGCACAGGACAGGAAGATGGGGTTTGCAGGGCTTGTAAAATAAGCCCACTTCTTCCTGCAGGAAGCCAACGCTCACTAAGGACTGAAGTCCCACAGGAAGAGCGAAGGCTGTGATTTTTGATGAATTTTCCCGATCGGCAGAGGCTGCAGCAGATTGGCCACACTAGGCTGTCTTACTTTTCATGTCCCATCTGGTGTATTGATTTCCCAGACCAAGGCCAGCTCCACACAAGCCTGAAGCAGCACACCCACTCTCTTTGATGGTGCTTTTCAAGTCCATGGTCATTCTTTTCCAGACAATGGCTGAGACCGCATTTCATATTTCACATATACAGTACACACATCGGCTGCTTAGCTGACATGCCATTCTCTCTTGGTGGAGGGGGCACACTTTCATATGATAATAAAGTTTCTTAAGTTGCTTATATAGCCAAAAATATCCATTAGGAGACTGTAGTCTGAATTTGACATTTGACAGAAAAAGAGGAATCCTTCTCCAGTAGTAATTAATGCTGGTTCACTTTGAGTCTCTTTGTACTCCTTAAGAATTGTTTTTTTCTCAGGTATAATGTTTTGCTATGTTGTAAACCTCAAAGAAGGGAACTGTGTGGAAAGCTTTACAATTTATTCCATAATCTCACAGCATGTCTTGTGATACTCTCAGGTGTCTTAGCTAGTTGAGGTGAGAAGCAGTGATGGACTGCTAATACGTAAATCTATAGCATGTCAAGAGTTCCTGGAGGGTAACGGATTGAATTTGGAAGACAGAAATGTCGTTAGTATAAATTAAGTCTGAAATCTAACAATATAGCTGCCTTTAAATATCCCCAGGCATTATATTTGTCTCTAAGTAAAAATGGCTCACTTCAATAGTCTGCCCTCATCTTGTACAGAATCCAAATATAAAAGTTAAGGATGTTTCCGCGGAGTAATGAATACTGGAAAAAAGAGCACAAACTTTTCTGCTGCAAAAGTCCAGGATAATAGAGTATTGAAAAGACTGCTTGTTAATTTCTACAATGTGAACACACATGAGGCCTCAGACTCCACAATTTCTTTGAAGAAAATACCTACGAATACCTAGTTCTCATGCATGACTCTGAAATCCCAATTGATTGTGCCCTCAATTCAACAAGAATTCATCTGGTCAGGAAATATATTGTTTTGTTATTATGTAGACAAAATCTTTTTTCCCCCCTTTTCTGAGCAGAAATGACCGGAAGGCTTCGTTTGGAATCATTCAAACAGTACATCCAAACCCACACGGTTCCCCACCTCTTCACACAAGACCACTCTATTCCCATATTTCCCAGATCACAGTACTTAATGACATCAGAGAGGTCAGAGGTCACAGCTGCAGAGTCATTCTGCTGCACTCCTTGGTCCTCTTCATCTCCAGCAGGACCGCTACTTTTCCCTTTGCCTGACAGCCATGGGGCTGTCAATCATGCTCCTCATCACCCAAGAAAACTGATTCTTACAAAAAGACATCCTGAATCACCAGCTGCCAAATTAGTCTAGATTCATTCACACAAGCCAAGAGCCATATCACATATCTGAAAACTTCATTTGATTGGTGAAGCATTTTCTTCTTCTCCACTTGATCTGCTGTGTAGGTGCACAATGGACTTGTATTTCAGTGCAGGATGCAAATAGACTCCTTCCCATACCTGAAGTATCAGTAATGCACTCAGCCCCTGTAATACTGTACTCTCTCCATAGACTTGCAGTGGTCAGACAGACAGTGCTGACCAAACATTTCTATCAGCATCTGAAATTGGTCACTTCCTATAGACTCAAATACTGTAGTGCAAGCAGAAATTGGACAAATGCCCTTGTTTTGCTACAAATGCCAACATACTGTATGCATTGGATAGAGTCTTCCCTACAGTAATTTGTCTGCATTTTGCTTTGCAATCATTAAATGTCTGTATGATTACAACCTTATTTGCTTAAAATCAATTATCCTGTAAAATCTAATTTGCTGTTTGTCATTTTATCAGGGTTTAGAAGTTCCAGGTGTTATCAATAGAATACATCTGTATATATTTCTATATGCCTATGTATATATTCCAC